CCATCCTTGGAGGTGTTTAAGGGCCATTTAGATGCAGTGCTGAGGGACATGGTGTAGGGGAGGACTTTGTAGAGTAGGGGAGATGGTTGGACTCGATGATCCCAAGGGTCTCTTCCAACCTCAATGATTCTATGATTCTAGAGGGGGCCATTGGTACTCAATGGCTCAAAGTCCAGATGGAAACCAGTCACAAGTGGTGTTCCTCAAGGGGCCGTGCTGGGGCCAATACTGTTTAACATTTTGATCAATGATCTAGACAGGGGGATTAAAGGCACCATCAGCAAGTTTGGGGACGACACCAAGCTGTGTGGTGGTGTCCATACACCAGAGGGATGGGAGGTCATCCAAAAGGACCTGGAGAGGCTGGAGAGGTGGGCCCAGGTGAACCTCATGAGGTTCAACAAGAGCAAATGCAAGGTTCTGCACCTGGGCTGGAACAATCCTGGCCATCAATACAAACTAGGGGGTGAGGGATTGGAAAGCAGCCCTGAGGAAAGGGATTTGGGGGTGCTGGTGGAGGAGAAGCTGGACAGGAGCAGGCAGGGGACACTTGCAGCCCAGAAGGTCAATCCCATCCTGGGCTGCATCAAAAGAAGCGTTGCCAGAAGGTCCAGAGAGGGGATTCTGCCACTTTGCTCTGGTGAGACCTCACCTGGAGTGTTGTGTGCAGGTCTGGAGCCCTCAATATAAGAAGGACATGGACCTGATGTTGGGGGTCCAGAGGAGGACCATGAGGATGATGGGGGGGTTGGAGCATCCTCTGCTCCGAGGACAGGCTGAGGGAGCTGGGGTTGTTCAGCCTGGAGAAGAGGAGGCTCCGGGGAGACCTTAGAGCAGCTTCCAGGATGTGAAGGGAGCTACAGGAAGGTTGGGGAGAACCTGTTTCCAAAGGTCTGTAGTGACAGGACAAGGGGAAATGGCTTTAAACTGGAGAAAAGCAGATTTAGACTGGAGATGAGGAGAAAGTTCTTTACTGTGAGGGTGGTGAAGCACTGGAAGAGGTTGCCCAGGGAGGTGGTTGAGGCCCCATCCCTGGAGATATTCAAGGAGAGGCTCGATGGGGCAACCTGGTCTAGTTGGGGGTGTCCCTGCTGACTGCGGGGGGGTCGGACTAGATGACCTTTGGAGGTCCCTTCCAGCCTGGGCAATTCTATGATTCTATGAGAGAGCCAGGAGGGTGAAACGGGGGGGTTTTGTGATAAGAAACACACCTCAAGAGGGAAGAACCCCCTCAGGTCCTCACCTGCTGTGCACCACGATGGCAGCCTTGGGCATCCCCGTGGTGCCAGACGTGTAGATGTAGAAGAGTCGATCTAAAAGAATAAAAAGGGGGGTCAGAACGTTCTCTGCTTGAAAAAAAACCCAAAACCCCGCAGGGTTTGGTTTGTATTTTAGGCTTTTTTGGCCTAAAATGGCTCCGAAATGGTGATGGAACAGGGGACAGCGAGCTGAGAAGGCCAACCTGAGGGGGGATCCCCGTGTTGTCCCCAAGGGTAGGGATGGGGACGTGTCACCAAGAATTATGGTGGGAATGTCAGGAATTAATTCCAATCAATCTAGGGATTGGGAAGGTCTCCACCTGCGTCTGATGGTGGGGCAGGTATCTAATATTAGGTATTATTTATGATTTATTTATTTATTTTTTAATCATTTAAAGGAAAAGCTTCAAGCAGCAGCATTAAACAAAGTACCAAAATGGAGTCTCAGGGATCTCAGATGCTCTTCATGGTCCTAAAGTACAAAATACAGACTGGAACCCAAACAGTGTCTTCCTTTCCCTCTCCTGAGTCCCAAAACCTGCTAAAAACCATCTCCCCCCCCAGCCATATCACAGGGAAAGACTTTAATTACACATGAGAGGGCTGTGGGGGAAGGTAAAATGAGCTGTTAAAGGCCAGAGACAAATGGGTCAGACCAATCTCCTCCTCCAGGTACTCAATACATTAGACACACAAAGCTTGGAAGTCTCAAACAGTGAGAAACTTAACCCATATTCATTTTTTTTCCCCCCTATTTTTTTTTTCAGCTCCTTTCTTCTATTTATGAGCCCAAATTGGGTTGATTTAATCCATCCTACTTCGCTTCCTCCAGCTCTCAGCACCAAGAAACCAAACCCAGGGGATAAAAATTACCATCTAAGCCTTTGAGGGGAATCTGAGCCGGGGGAGATTTCGAGGCGTCGCTCAGGAGAGGATCAAGGTGTTTGGTCTCTCCAGGAACCAGCCCCGGGTTGTAGTCGCCGGAGCAGAATTTTGCCATGTTTTTCCCCAACATCCCGTTCACTTCGGATATCGCTGCAAGACAAAACGAGTCACTTTTGCAAACAACCACCACCCCCCGCCAGGAATAACCTCTTATTGTGCCCCAAAACTGCAGAAGGACCTGAAGAACCTGTCAAATATTTCGTTCACACCCATCCAGATAACATCAGCGCGGTCGGATTGACCCGGACCTGGTAAAAATCCTTCCCAAAAAACCCACGTGGAGTTGCCTCTCCCTTTAATCGTGTCACAAATTAATCCAGAAGGATTCCAAGGAGAGGATTTGGAAAAATAACCCACCAGATCTAACACCAACTATCAAAATGGGGTTCGTTAGAGAAGTGGGGGGGCAATTAAAACCAGCAGCCACTGACAGAGCCACCCTGAGGCAGAAAGTGTGGCATTAGGCAGAGTATTAAGAGAGCAAAAGAGAAAAATACCTCCTGGGGCAGGAAAATACACCCCTTGGGGGAGGAAAATATCCCCTGGGGCAGGAAAATATGCCTCTTTGGGGAGGAAAATACCTCCTGGGGCAGGAAAATACGCCCCTTGGGGGAGAAAAATACCCCCGGGGCAGGAAAATACGCCCCTTGGGGGAGAAAAATACACCCCTTGGGGAAGGAAAATACCCCCTGGGGCAAGAAATACGCCCCTGGGGGGAGGAAAATATCCCTGGGGCAGGAAAATACACCCCCTGGGGCAGGAAAATACACCCCTTCTTGATGAAGCTCCTGATGCAGCTCTTCCCAAGAAACAAGAGCAAATTAGTGAGCTAATTAGTGGGTTAATGTCCACTCTGGGCACCCCAAAATCAGGGAAATGCCGGCAGATGGAACCGAGCTCCTGAGCAAAAGAGAAAAATACCCCCTGGGGCAGGAAAATACCCCCTGGGGCAGGAAAATACGTCCCTTGGGGGAGAAAAATACCCCCTGGGGCAGGAAAATATCCCTTGGGGGAGAAAAATACCCCCTGGGGCAGGAAAATACACCCCTTGGGGGAGGAAAATATGCCCCTTCTCGATGAAGCTCCTGATGCAGCCCTTCCCAAGAAACAAGAGCAAATTAGTGAGCTAATTAGTGGGTTAATGTCCACTCTGGGCACCCCAAAATCAGGGAGACGCCAGCAGATGGAAGCGAGCTCCTGAGCAAAAGAGAAAAATACCTCCTGGGGCAGGAAAATACACCCCTTGGGGGAGGAAAATATCCCCTGGGGCAGGAAATATGCCCTGGGGGGAGGAAAATACATCCCTTGGGGGAGAAAAATACCCCCTGGGGCAGGAAATATGCCCTGGGGGGAGGAAAATACAATCCTTGGAGGAGAAAAATACCCCCTGGGGCAGGAAAATACACCCTGGGGCGAGGAAAATGCCCCTTCTCGATGAAGCTCCTGATGCAGCTCTTCCCAAGAAACAAGAGCAAATTAGTGAGCTAATTAGTGGAGCTGATCTCCACTCTGGGCACCCCAAAATCAGGGAGACACCAGCAGATGGAAGCGAGTTCCTGACCACTCTACTCCAAACACCCTTTTAGCCCCAGGTCTTCTCCCTTTTGTAATCAGGGGATTTACCATTTTTCCTCCCTTTCAAACCAGCTGCCCTTTTTGTTTTCAAGTTCATTCAATCTCTGCCTCGTTGAGGACCAAGAAAACGCCCTAGAGAGGTGCCCAAACCCCCCCTGAGGGACTCACCCGACGAGAGCTCCCCTCCAAAAATCACAGCTTTGGCCCCCGAGGTGGTGACGCAATAAACCAACGAATCCAACCGCAAATTGAAGTTGATGAGAGCGGCCTCCAGGCCGATTTTGGCCATCCCCAGCCAGAGGCCCACAAATTCGGGGCGGCTCTCCATGAAGATGGCGATGACGTCCCCCGGGCGGAAGCCTTGGTGGTGGAAGTAATTAGCCACGGCGTTGGAATACTCATCAAGCCTCCTGAAGGTCCACTGCTCCCCGTTGGCCTCGTAAACGAGGGCCACCTTGTCGGGGTGCCTGAGGACCACCTCCTGGAACATCTTGGGGACGGTGCTCTTGGCTTTTTGATGCCGCCGCAACTTGTACTTGACTCGGAGCAGCACCGAGAGGCCACTGTGGTAAAGGGAAAAAAAGAAAAAAGAGCATAAAAACCTCATTTTCAGCACTATTTCTGAATTAGGAGGGAGGTGGCTCCACACGTCCCCGTGTGTCCCCCCCTCAGCCCTTGGAGGGTTGAAGTGTCACCCTAAAATTTGGAATCGCTGCTGCCCCGCAGCAAGAGACAGATTTTTTAACACAAGGGTACCATTCCACTCCTTTTTATGCTTAAAAATCACAGGGAATCCATCCTCACATCGACAGGGATTCAAACGAGAGGGTGAATTCCACCTTTTAATCATGTTTTGTGCCACTTGTAAAATGAAAAAGGACTCGGCAACCATCGCTTTGAGCTCCAAAGGGAAGCTCCAGGTGGGAAGGGTCTTCCTCACCCAGGATGTTTCGCAGCATCTTGGGGCAATTTCTTACAATTCCATTGAAAGAGAATGCTACAGGGTTGGAAGGGACCTTCTGGAGATCATCTCCTCCACCCCCCAGCCAAAGCAGGTCCCACAAGGTCCCATCCAGGAGGGGTTGGATGTCTCCAGAGATGGAGACCCCCCCACATCTCTGGGCAGCCTCTCCCAGGGCTCTGCCACCCTCAAAATGGAGAAGTTCCTCCTCGTGTTGAAATGGAACTTCCTCTGTTCCCAGTTTGTGCCCGTTCCCTCTTGTCCTGTCACTGGGCACCACTGGAAAAAGCCCGGCCACATCCTCCTGACACCCACCAGCCAGGAGATCCCCCCTTCTCCAGACTCAAAAGCCCCAAGTCCCTCAGCAGAGAGATGTTCTCCTCCCCTCATCATCTTCATAGCCCTTTGCTGGACCTTCTCCACCAGTTCCCTGTCCTTCTGGAACTGGGGAGCCCACAACTGGTCCCAGTGCTCCAGATGGGGCCTCCCCAGGGTAGATCAGAGGGGGAGGACCAAGAAGACCAGCCCCTTGGATAAGGACAACCTCAAGCTCCTAGAAAACAAAGCCGGAGGCTTCCCCTTTCACCCGGGAGAGGAGAGAACGGACGGCGCGTGTTTTCCTGTGAGTCAGTCCCTGCCCTGGGACCATAGGAAGTGAAGCTATCGAAATACCACCAGGCAGAAATCATAAATTTTAACACTAATTAATAAATAACACCACTTCTTGGCTGGCAGGCTCCTTTAAAGCCTTCCCCAAGGAAAGAATTGCTGCCTCTCCGGGGATATCTAATACCCCAAAGAGCAACCGCTGAATAAAAGAACAAACCAGATTGTTCTAATGGGTCTTTTTTTTTTTTTCCTTTTCTTTCTCTTCCGTAATTTACATAATTATTTTAAGTCTCCAAGGCAGCAGCTTGCACGTGAATCCTCGACACGGGTTCAAGCTGGACGGCAGGGAGAAGCTGTTGTCTGAATTTTGAAGTGTCTCCTGTTGGCCTGGAGGGAAACTATCTTTAGGGGCACGTCGGGAATAACTCTGGATATAAAAATAAATTTATTAAGAGCACACAACCATTAACGCCGCCACCAAAAAGCAGGACGGTGGGGCTGGGGATCCTGTTTCCTTCCCCGAGGTAGGAGGTAATTTTCCACCATTAAAAATGGGAAATCGTTGCGCAACGACGGGTTTGGAAGAAGCCCCAGAAACTCGAAAGGTCATTTAATATTAGCGCTTTAAAAATAAATAAATAAATTAAATAAATAACCCCCCCCCCAACAAGTCTCTCGATTAGAATGTGGAGAGCAGGAGGCTCAGCAGAGCCTGGCAGAAGGGGGGGAAGGGGAAGGGGAGAGCTCCAAAAAATGAGTTGGAGGTTGCCCAGGGAGGTGGTTGAGGCCCCATCCCTGGAGATATTCAAGGAGAGGCTCGATGGGGCAACCTGGTCTAGTTGGGGGTGTCCCTGCTGACTGCGGGGGGGTCGGACTAGATGACCTTTGGAGGTCCCTTCCAGCCTGGGCAATTCTATGATTCTATGAGAGAGCCAGGAGGGTGAAACGGGGGGGTTTTGTGATAAGAAACACACCTCAAGAGGGAAGAACCCCCTCAGGTCCTCACCTGCTGTGCACCACGATGGCAGCCTTGGGCATCCCCGTGGTGCCAGACGTGTAGATGTAGAAGAGTCGATCTAAAAGAATAAAAAGGGGGGTCAGAACGTTCTCTGCTTGAAAAAAAAACCAAAACCCCGCAGGGTTTGGTTTGTATTTTAGGCTTTTTTGGCCTAAAATGGCTCCGAAATGGTGATGGAACAGGGGACAGCGAGCTGAGAAGGCCAACCTGAGGGGGGATCCCCGTGTTGTCCCCAAGGGTAGGGATGGGGACGTGTCACCAAGAATTATGGTGGGAATGTCAGGAATTAATTCCAATCAATCTAGGGATTGGGAAGGTCTCAACCTGTGTCTGATGGTGGGGCAGGTATCTAATATTAGGTATTATTTATGATTTATTTATTTATTTTTTAATCATTTAAAGGAAAAGCTTCAAGCAGCAGCATTAAACAAAGTACCAAAATGGAGTCTCAGGGATCTCAGATGCTCTTCATGGTCCTAAAGTACAAAATACAGACTGGAACCCAAACAGTGTCTTCCTTTCCCTCTCCTGAGTCCCAAACCTGCCAAAAACCATCTCCCCCCCCAGCCATATCGCAGGGAAAGACTTTAATTACACATGAGAGGGCTGTGGGGGAAGGTAAAATGAGCTGTTAAAGGCCAGAGACAAATGGGTCAGACCAATCTCCTCCTCCAGGTACTCAATACATTAGACACACAAAGCTTGGAAGTCTCAAACAGTGAGAAACTTAACCCATATTCATTTTTTTTCCCCCCTATTTTTTTTTTCAGCTCCTTTCTTCTATTTATGAGCCCAAATTGGGTTGATTTAATCCATCCTACTTCGCTTCCTCCAGCTCTCAGCACCAAGAAACCAAACCCAGGGGATAAAAATTACCATCTAAGCCTTTGAGGGGAATCTGAGCCGGGGGAGATTTCGAGGCGTCGCTCAGGAGAGGATCAAGGTGTTTGGTCTCTCCAGGAACCAGCCCCGGGTTGTAGTCGCCGGAGCAGAATTTTGCCATGTTTTTCCCCAACATCCCGTTCACTTCGGATATCGCTGCAAGACAAAACGAGTCACTTTTGCAAACAACCACCACCCCCCGCCAGGAATAACCTCTTATTGTGCCCCAAAACTGCAGAAGGACCTGAAGAACCTTTCAAATATTTCATTCACACCCATCTAGATAACATCAGTGCGGTCGGATTGACCCGGACCCGGTAAAAATCCTTCCCAAAAAACCCACGTGGAGTTGCCTCTCCCTTTAATCGTGTCACAAATTAATCCAGAAGGATTCCAAGGAGAGGATTTGGAAAAATAACCCACCAGATCTAACACCAACCATCAAAATGGGGTTCATTAGAGAAGTGGGGGGGCAATTAAAACCAGCAGCCACTGACAGAGCCACCCTGAGGCAGAAAGTGTGGCATTAGGCAGAGTATTAAGAGAGCAAAAGAGAAAAATACCTCCTGGGGCAGGAAAATACACCCCTTGGGGGAGGAAAATATCCCCTGGGGCAGGAAAATATGCCTCTTTGGGGAGGAAAATACCTCCTGGGGCAGGAAAATACGCCCCTTGGGGGAGAAAAATACCCCCGGGGCAGGAAAATACGCCCCTTGGGGGAGAAAAATACACCCCTTGGGGAAGGAAAATACCCCCTGGGGCAAGAAATACGCCCCTGGGGGGAGGAAAATATCCCTGGGGCAGGAAAATACACCCCCTGGGGCAGGAAAATACACCCCTTCTTGATGAAGCTCCTGATGCAGCTCTTCCCAAGAAACAAGAGCAAATTAGTGAGCTAATTAGTGGGTTAATGTCCACTCTGGGCACCCCAAAATCAGGGAAATGCCGGCAGATGGAACCGAGCTCCTGAGCAAAAGAGAAAAATACCCCCTGGGGCAGGAAAATACCCCCTGGGGCAGGAAAATACGTCCCTTGGGGGAGAAAAATACCCCCTGGGGCAGGAAAATATCCCTTGGGGGAGAAAAATACCCCCTGGGGCAGGAAAATACACCCCTTGGGGGAGGAAAATATGCCCCTTCTCGATGAAGCTCCTGATGCAGCCCTTCCCAAGAAACAAGAGCAAATTAGTGAGCTAATTAGTGGGTTAATGTCCACTCTGGGCACCCCAAAATCAGGGAGACGCCAGCAGATGGAAGCGAGCTCCTGAGCAAAAGAGAAAAATACCTCCTGGGGCAGGAAAATACATCCCTATGATCTCAGAAGGTCTCTCCCAACCCCAACCAGCCCGAGATCCTGCGATTCCTCCGACCCCTGGGGCAGGAAATATGCCCTGGGGGGAGGAAAATACAATCCTTGGAGGAGAAAAATACCCCCTGGGGCAGGAAAATAGACCCCTTCTTGATGAAGCTCCCGGGGGAGGAAAATACATCCCTTGGGGGAGAAAAATACCCCCTGGGGCAGGAAATATGCCCTGGGGGGAGGAAAATACAATCCTTGGAGGAGAAAAATACCCCCTGGGGCAGGAAAATACGTCCCTTGGGGGAGAAAAATACCCCCTGGGGCAGGAAATATGCCCTGGGGGGAGGAAAATACACCCCTTCTCGATCAAGCTCCTGATGCAGCTCTTCCCAAGAATCAAGAGCAAATTAGTCAGCTAATTAGTGGGTTAATGGCCACTCTGGGCACCCCAAAATCAGGGAGACACCAGCAGATGGAAGCGAGCTCCTGAGCAAAAGAGAAAAATACCTCCTGGAGCAGGAAAATACACCCCTGGGGGGAGGAAAATACACCCCTTCTCGATCAAGCTCCTGATGCAGCTCTTCCCAAGAAACAAGAGCAAATTAGTGAGCTAATTAGTGGAGCTGATCTGGGGGGAGGAAAATACACCCCTTCTCGATCAAGCTCCTGATGCAGCTCTTCCCAAGAATCAAGAGCAAATTAGTCAGCTAATTAGTGGGTTAATGGCCACTCTGGGCACCCCAAAATCAGGGAGACACCAGCAGATGGAAGCGAGTTCCTGACCACTCTACTCCAAACACCCTTTTAGTCCCAGGCCCTAATTGAAGGCTTCTCCCTTTTGTCCAGGAAATATGCCCTGGGGGGAGGAAAATACATCCCTTGGGGGAGAAAAATACCCCCTGGGGCAGGAAATATGCCCTGGGGGGAGGAAAATACAATCCTTGGAGGAGAAAAATACCCCCTGGGGCAGGAAAATACACCCTGGGGCGAGGAAAATGCCCCTTCTCGATGAAGCTCCTGATGCAGCTCTTCCCAAGAAACAAGAGCAAATTAGTGAGCTAATTAGTGGAGCTGATCTCCACTCTGGGCACCCCAAAATCAGGGAGACACCAGCAGATGGAAGCGAGTTCCTGACCACTCTACTCCAAACACCCTTTTAGCCCCAGGTCTTCTCCCTTTTGTAATCAGGGGATTTACCATTTTTCCTCCCTTTCAAACCAGCTGCCCTTTTTGTTTTCAAGTTCATTCAATCTCTGCCTCGTTGAGGACCAAGAAAACGCCCTAGAGAGGTGCCCAAACCCCCCCTGAGGGACTCACCCGACGAGAGCTCCCCTCCAAAAATCACAGCTTTGGCCCCCGAGGTGGTGACGCAATAAACCAACGAATCCAACCGCAAATTGAAGTTGATGAGAGCGGCCTCCAGGCCGATTTTGGCCATCCCCAGCCAGAGGCCCACAAATTCGGGGCGGCTCTCCATGAAGATGGCGATGACGTCCCCCGGGCGGAAGCCTTGGTGGTGGAAGTAATTAGCCACGGCGTTGGAATACTCATCAAGCCTCCTGAAGGTCCACTGCTCCCCGTTGGCCTCGTAAACGAGGGCCACCTTGTCGGGGTGCCTGAGGACCACCTCCTGGAACATCTTGGGGACGGTGCTCTTGGCTTTTTGATGCCGCCGCAACTTGTACTTGACTCGGAGCAGCACCGAGAGGCCACTGTGGTAAAGGGAAAAAAAGAAAAAAGAGCATAAAAACCTCATTTTCAGCACTATTTCTGAATTAGGAGGGAGGTGGCTCCACACGTCCCCGTGTGTCCCCCCCTCAGCCCTTGGAGGGTTGAAGTGTCACCCTAAAATTTGGAATCGCTGCTGCCCCGCAGCAAGAGACAGATTTTTTAACACAAGGGTACCATTTCACTCCTTTTTATGCTTAAAAATCACAGGGAATCCATCCTCACATCGACAGGGATTCAAACGAGAGGGTGAATTCCACCTTTTAACCATGTTTTGTGCCATCCATAAAGTGAAAAAGGACTTGACAACCATTGCTTTGAGCGCCAAAGGGAGTGAACACACTTCAAACGAGAGGGTGAATTCCACCTTTTAATCATGTTTTGTGCCACTTGTAAAATGAAAAAGGACTCGGCAACCATCGCTTTGAGCTCCAAAGGGAAGCTCCAGGTGGGAAGGGTCTTCCTCACCCAGGATGTTTCGCAGCATCTTGGGGCAATTTCTTACAATTCCATTGAAAGAGAATGCTACAGGGTTGGAAGGGACCTTCTGGAGATCATCTCCTCCACCCCCCAGCCAAAGCAGGTCCCACAAGGTCCCATCCAGGAGGGGTTATCATCTCCTCCAACCCCCACCCAGAGCAGGCCCCACAAGATGGAGACCCCCCCACATCTCTGGGCAGCCTCTCCCAGGGCTCTGCCACCCTCAAAATGGAGAAGTTCCTCCTCGTGTTGAAATGGAACTTCCTCTGTTCCCAGTTTGTGCCCGTTCCCTCTTGTCCTGTCACTGGGCACCACTGGAAAAAGCCCGGCCACATCCTCCTGACACCCACCAGCCAGGAGATCCCCCCTTCTCCAGACTCAAAAGCCCCAAGTCCCTCAGCAGAGAGATGTTCTCCTCCCCTCATCATCTTCATAGCCCTTTGCTGGACCTTCTCCACCAGTTCCCTGTCCTTCTGGAACTGGGGAGCCCACAACTGGTCCCAGTGCTCCAGATGGGGCCTCCCCAGGGTAGATCAGAGGGGGAGGACCAAGAAGACCAGCCCCTTGGATAAGGACAACCTCAAGCTCCTAGAAAACAAAGCCGGAGGCTTCCCCTTTCACCCGGGAGAGGAGAGAACGGACGGCGCGTGTTTTCCTGTGAGTCAGTCCCTGCCCTGGGACCATAGGAAGTGAAGCTATCGAAATACCACCAGGCAGAAATCATAAATTTTAACACTAATTAATAAATAACACCACTTCTTGGCTGGCAGGCTCCTTTAAAGCCTTCCCCAAGGAAAGAATTGCTGCCTCTCCGGGGATATCTAATACCCCAAAGAGCAACCGCTGAATAAAAGAACAAACCAGATTGTTCTAATGGGTCTTTTTTTTTTTTTCCTTTTCTTTCTCTTCCGTAATTTACATAATTATTTTAAGTCTCCAAGGCAGCAGCTTGCACGTGAATCCTCGACACGGGTTCAAGCTGGACGGCAGGGAGAAGCTGTTGTCTGAATTTTGAAGTGTCTCCTGTTGGCCTGGAGGGAAACTATCTTTAGGGGCACGTCGGGAATAACTCTGGATATAAAAATAAATTTATTAAGAGCACACAACCATTAACGCCGCCACCAAAAAGCAGGACGGTGGGGCTGGGGATCCTGTTTCCTTCCCCGAGGTAGGAGGTAATTTTCCACCATTAAAAATGGGAAATCGTTGCGCAACGACGGGTTTGGAAGAAGCCCCAGAAACTCGAAAGGTCATTTAATATTAGCGCTTTAAAAATAAATAAATAAATTAAATAAATAACCCCCCCCCCAACAAGTCTCTCGATTAGAATGTGGAGAGCAGGAGGCTCAGCAGAGCCTGGCAGAAGGGGGGGAAGGGGAAGGGGAGAGCTCCAAAAAATGAGTTGTTGGCGGTGGCCGGGGCTTTCACGGTGACCTTACCCTGGGCCGTGCCAAATACAGAACAGAGGAGCCTTTTCACTGCTGAGCTGCACTTTCCAGATACTTAAAGGGCTTTATTCTGCCCCGGTTTATTTGCTGTCATTATTCCCAGCTTGCCGGGGCGATGGGGAGGAAACAGCTCTTCAAAGGGGGAGTGACAGCCAGAGCGAAGCTGGCAATGGCAGGAGCCCTAAATCCTTCGGAATAAAGGCACATCCTAAAAAAAAAAAACAAAAAAACCACCGAGCTAAATGCGACGACGAGGGACTCCCGGGAGCTGGGGGAGACTTACGACTCCCCACACCCCTTAATTTGGATTATATATTTAATTTGGGACTCCCTTTTAGCCCAGTGACTCCTCTTCCTCAGGTGAACCAGGAGCATCCCGCATCCGTTTGCTCGCTCCCTTCGAGGCTGAGCCCTTCCAGCCGCAGGCCAGCGAGTTAAAATGGTTAAAAACCAACGTTTTTAACCAAGCCAGGTTGCCACTGGGACCCCTTCGAACCACAGACTGGTTTGGTTGGGAAGGGACCTTGAAGACCATCAAGTTCCAACCTCCTGCCCTGGGCAGGGACACCTCTCAACAGAGCAGCTCCAAGCCCCCTCCAACCTTGGCCTTGAACCCCTCCAGGGATGGAGCAGCCACAGTTTCTCAGGGCAACCTGGGCCAGGCTCTCACCACCCTCAAAGGGAGGAATTTCTTCCTAAATCTCATCTCAACCTCCCCTCTTTGATGCCCCGTCCCTGAGAACCTTCAAGGTCGGGTTGGACGGGGCTTTGAGCCACCTGGGCTGGGTGGAGATGGCCCTGCTCATGGAATCATGGAAGGGTTTGGGTGGGAAGGGACCTTTGAGACCATCGAGCTCCATCCCAGACACCTCCCACCAGAGCAGGTCGCTCCAAGCCCCCTCCAACCTTGGCCTTGAACCTCTTTAAGGTTCTCTGGGCAACCCCACAGCTCCTCTGGGCAACCTGGACCTTAAAGACCATTGAGCTCCATCCCCGGACACCTCCCACCAGAGCAGGTCACTCCAAGCCCCCTCCAACCTTGGCCTTGAACCCCTCCAGGGATGGGGCAGCACCAGCTTCTCTGGGCAACCTGGGCCAGGCTCTCACCACCCTCAAAACCAAGAAGTTCCTCCTCAATCTCCCCTTTTTCAGCTTAAACCCCTTCCCCCTCATCCTATGGCTCCACTCCCTCATCCCTGCTCCCTCCCCATCTATCCTGGAGCCCCTTGAGGGACTAGAAGGGGCTCCAAGGTCCCCTCAGGGGCTCCAAGGTCTCCCCACAGTCTTCTTTTCTCCAGCCTGAACCCCCCCAACTCCCTCAGCCCCCCCTCAGGGAGGACTCCAGCCCCCCCAGCACCTCCAGGGCCTCCTCCAGCCCTGCTCCGACACCCCCACGTCCTTCTAACACCCCCAGAGAGGGTGAACACCCCCCCAAAGGGTGGCAGAACCCCATCTTCTCCCCCTGTTGTGGGCCCAGCCCCGGTTACCGGGGCCTTTCGGGCCTATGGGCGCACCTTGAGGGGCTCCCGGCCCCTTCGCCCCCCACAATAAAGCTCTCCGTGGGGCTACGGGTGTGTGTCCCCCCCCCCTCTCCACCACCACCACCCCCGGGTCCCCAAAACTCACAAGAGATCCCTGGGCGCCGTCCGGTAGATGAGGCGCAGCAGCCGCCACCCCCCGCCGCCCAGGCAGACGCCCAAGGTAGCGGCCAAGCTCCATGGCCACGGAGCTCCCAAAAGCCTCAGCAGCCCCAAGGAGCCCAGGGAGGCGGCGCAGA